GGTCGGGGCTCTGGGTATAAATGGTCAGGGGCCGACTCTACTCGAAGGAGTTAACTGTGGAAGGCTAGAGTAGCTGTAATAAGCGTAGAGGTACTTGAGATGTTAGGGAGACTAGAGGTTAGTGCTGGTAGTTAATGTGTTCCTGGTTGTGGTTGTCACCGAATTATATAGAATGTGTCTATGTTTGAATGCATAATGTGATGAAAAGTATGACTGGGAATGTTTCATGATTTGGTTGAGCATGATGTGTGTGTGTTGATCCTTTAATAAGCATGACACGTTGTTCCTTGATAAGTATGCTATTTGTGCGTGACCCTTCAGATAGGGGCTGCTTACTGAGTACTGTGGTTGTACTCATCCCTCTTTTCCCCTCCAGTTTGCAGGTATCGAGCTAGCTCTTGGGATGGTGATGGCGAGGAGGAGGCTTGATCGGAAGGACCATTAGCTATGCTGCGTGCAATTAATTTCTTTTAGTTAGGATAGTGGTGGCCATTTAATCCTGTAGTTGAGTTGGTAGTGGTTGGTTTTGTTTAGTTTTACTGTCTAAAGGATGTTGTAAGGTTGCCGATTCATTATTCTTTTAGAGCATTAATTTTGTTAGCCTCTTGAACTACGGGATTGTAATCTACTTAGGATATTTATGAATACATTTGTTTAAGTTGATCGTACTTGATTTAGTTTTTGCTTCATTGCCATTCGAGATGTTAATATTCATTTAGTGGATGGTTTATAGTTAGTAAAGGTTTCCTTGAAGGGTTTGGTTAATGTGAAGTCGGTATTAAATGGTTTATCTGTATAGGATGTGAGTTTCTCTTAAAACTTTAGTGTTGCTGTTCTAATTGTTCAAGCTCTCGTGAGTGTTGAAAATTAAAGTAGCGTAGCGTGGTAGCTTTATTGCTTAGTATTGTGGTGAAGATAATTCTTTTGTTTATGTGAAAATTTTAGGTAGTCTTAGTAACGGTCCCTGTTTGGAAATGGTGAAATTCCTGGGGCGTTACAAAACCAACCTCGGATGATGACGAGCCCGATGAGCCACCCTTCACTCAGGCTATCTTGACCGTGTCAATAACGTCCAAAGGTAAGGTCCCGAGCTTTGACAAATATGATAGGTCCGCGGATCCAGTTGTCCATGTGGAGTCCTATGAGTTGTTGATGGACTGCCACGCCTCCCCTAACGCAATGAAGTGCAAGGCGTATTCTGTGGCCATAGAAGGGTCTGTGAGGAAATGGTATCGATGGCTCTTGCCCCACTCCATTTCCTCTTGGAAGCAGCTCCGCAAGGCCTTCGTGGCCCAGTTCGCAACTCAGTAGGAAACTCAACACCCAGCCCAATATTTGCTCACTATAAGGCAAAAGGCGGGGGAAAGCCTGAGAGACTACGTGAGAAGGTTCTTCGTCGCACAGATCACAGTGTCCTATAACAAAAAGTTCGACATGAGTAGCTGAAGTGGTCGTTCGCTAAGAAATCGAAGCTCACTATCAAAGCCAGCATAGATCGAGCTAGGAAGTTCATGCAGGCGAGTGAGCTCATCYAATAGAGAGAGCACCCTCCAAGAACCAGTCCTACGCGTGAAAGAAGGGGTCGGGACAGCTCTAGAAGGTAGCCGCAACATCAACGGTAGTACGACCACTAGCCTCGACAGAAGCAGGACCAGAAGCGTGGACGACTTAAGAGGCATGATCGCTTTACACCTTTSAATGTCCCAATGGCTGAAATTCCAGCCAACATAAAAAACTCGAAGCTAGACTTGCTCACCGAGCCCAATCCCATTGGCCGAGATCTTGAGAAGCGCAGCCAGTCAAAGTTCTATCATTTCCACAAGGACCACAGCCATGACATCTCCGACTGCTATGACCTGAAAAGGCAGATTGAGGGCCTCATTCAGAAAGGGTACTTCAAGAAGCATGTGGGACGAGCTCCTAACGGCGGAGGGAACAGGGCAGGCTGTTCGAAAGAAGAAAAGACAGAGAGAGAGAGGATGCGATCTTCCCCGAAATGCACGGACCGACCTGCTGTGATCAACATGGTCTTCAAAGGACCGAGCGGGGGGCAATCAGGAAACAAACATAAGGCACTGG